GTCACAATTTCTTCAGTTTTTATTACCTTCCACTAGGAATTTTCTGACGAAATTATCTGGATAGCCATTATTTCGTAATGTGTTCTTTAGTATATCTATTTCGCTGTCTACACTATCCTCAGAACATTATAGCTCGATTCTGTGTCCAAGGTATTTAACCAAATTTATTTTGTATCAAAGAGGTATGTAGCTCTGGAAATGGTAATACTGAACCGTCGATTTATTTTTTCCTAAAAATATTTCCTTTTATGGAATCATCTATCCTTCTAAAAAGTAGGACATCAAGGAAAGCTATACTATTGTCTCTTTCCTCTTCACTAATGAATTTGAAGACTGGGTGAACTTTATTAAAGTAGTTCAACATCTCATAATATTTATCTGACCAAATTAACACTTATTTGGAAAAATCAACGTTTCCCCTAGAGATAACATTGGATTTTCATGGTTTGTAGAAAAATGGATTAGTTATTTTATCAATAAGGTTTCATGGAGACCGTTGGGTTTCATCGAGATCATCAATCCTTCAAAGCTAGACCACCACTGAAAACCTGGAAGCACCCCACAGACTTTCCAACCTAGTATGGGATTCCTATACAGTGCACATTCACGACTCCACACGTGGGAATCTAATCCACCACCTCCGACCTCGCACGCGAATGCTTAATCTATAGATAACTGATTCAATATCCAATCTTGTTAATGCTTAACTTCGATCACTCCACGATAATGCGCGGGTAACTGCTTCACATCCCACACGGATTATCCCCACTGCTCCTTATTAGAACTCCTAAAATTTTCTTTCGAAGCTAGTCACTAGTGACCACATAGTGATTTTCAATATGGGTGTATGGAAATTGTTGAATTTCGTTTAAATTTTGAATAGAACTGGAAATCCTGTGTTTCAGTTTCATGCGCGGGGTCGTGGATGCGCACTGCTGAGGAGTCCTATGCTTGGACGAAACAGACGTCCATTGATCCCAGGTTTTCATTGTCGATCTGACTCAGATCGGTTCATGATTTCAATGAAATTTATCATTCTCCACATCCTCAAACTGAATCTGTTGGAGATGGTGAATATGTAAATAATAAACTTAAGGAGAAATCAAACTTGAAATTCATAAATTGGTTTTGAGTAAACCTCATGTTTCTATTTATATAGGCTTATCCAGCATGGGGTGTACAATTGACTAAGTTCGAATATAATTCAATTCTTATGGAGTTTTAACCAATCAATATTCCCTACACGGCTTTCTTTCTCCCTCTTAACTTTGCGTGGGATTATTTTCGAAGCGCTTCAACTTAACCATCCTATCCACTTAGTTAACAAAGGTTTCCTTCTTAAATTTAAAGAATCTGCTAATCGTTCGTGAATCATTAGTACAGAAACCAAACCAATCCACAATACAATTAAATGTACTTATTTTTATTACTATGTTAAGATTTGATTCATGACGAAGTCTTTGTCTGGAGTTATTAGTTATTAACATTTAATTAATGTCTTTGATGACTATTACACTTTCAAGTTATACGACATTCAGACACTGAGTCTCTTGTTCGAACCACGCCCCACTTGACTACTAGGGAGTATCACTAGTCCTCCCATTCATACTATGGCTTAGAGGCAAGTCACAAATCCGTACTTCGTAGGACAGTTAAATCAGTTGACGATTCTGTTTATCCTATTTAAATTCGTTTCTGTTACTAAACTGTATTTTTAATAACGGAATGTTAGATTTATATGCAATAAAACTCTGGCTATTATAAAAGTTTAAAGTAGCATAATTCAAATTGAAAAAAAATAACTATATGAGATTAAATGTCTCTGAATTGGAAACTGGTTATTCGTATTCCATATATTTAACGTCTCTATCAGTTCAAAAAATGTGACGAAATTGGAATTTTTCGAATCAGAGGAATGTGTTTTCGTGAAACGATAACTATACGATGTTGGCTGACGAAATAAAAATATCTAGGTAAGAAGGAATATTTACAATTGTCTGATTGTTGACCACCACCAATATATGTGGTCAATATTCAACTGTATATCGATATCAGTGCATCTATTTCATGGAAAAACGATGATCAGCTCAGTATAGCAAATCACGAATTCGTATAGTTTACGATGATCGTTTGAAATACATTGAAGTAGATTCAAAATAGTCAGAACTGTTTAGAAAAAAACTGATCATATTTAGGGTCGAAGTAGTTTTCTGCGAGATAAATAATTCAAAATGAAGGTAAAAATGTTCAAACCATAGTATATGATTTATTTTATATTGTTAGTTAAGTCTTAAATTCCTTGGTATTGTACATTATTTATTATCCAGGGTCATGGATAGTTTAAAATTCCTATTGATTGTCATCAAGAATTTGTATTTATCCATAGTTTTCAGTAGAGTATGTCAAACAGCTCTTATTCTGTTTTTCTTGAAGTTGGTAAGTGACCACATGGTGACATCAAAAAACATTTGTTGAAATTTAGACATTCCTCTTCATCACACCTAAACTTGATATATTGAACCGATTAGACATAAGGTGAAAGGTAAATATGAAAATGTGGTTTTATTTCCTAAGAAAGACGTATATGATTGAATGTTTGCAAACAAATTTTCGCTTTGGTTTTCGTCAACAAAGCTTATTTCTCCCTCAAGTAGCTGGTTGGGCTAACGTATAGGTAGCTTTTATATCAGTATGTGAAACAGACGACCGCACAACACACCAAAACCACATATTATCCGGCCGACAAAGGAAACCTTAGTAAGAATTCCTATAATTATTAATTTGCACATTAAACCGCGAATCTTATGAATATTTGCCTTGAATATATATTCATATAATATCAATCTAACTGAATAGCTGATCAGATCTGAACTAGAAGCTGGAACACGACCATGTGACCAGCCGAGATCCCAGAGAGTATGAAAAAGAACAGTAACCTTTAGAATAAACTCTCCATGGAAACCTATTCTTACACATCCTATTAAAAAAGAAGAGGTGATATGAAAAGGCAAAATTGAAATCTTTTATTCATTGTTCAACATTACTTCCGTATGATTAATTCAATATGGTAATTACTTATTGAAAATTAGAACAATACATGTAAGCAAATAATTAGTTTTCAATTAAATCGTCATCAGGCTTTGCTCTAATATACGTGAATATTTATACGAAAATGTTAAACCAATCAAGGCAATTTGGGTCGATAATATACTCACTTCTATAGTTTTACACCTATCAGTTACAAGAGAGATTTGGTTAGATGTCTCACTAGCAAAGTAAAAAAGATCTGTTCAGTAGATACTTTAAGTCAGGAGTTGGAATTAATCAACAACTCAATGACCGAGATCGGCTACCCCAGTGCGTTCATAAAGCACATGTATAATATAAAAAATAAGTCAGAGATTCCGACTGTTCTAAGGAAGCCTTTATACATTACACTACAATTCAACGGGGATGTGGCTAGCGATACTCTGAAAGATAGGTTAACGAAGGTAATTAGCAGGACATTCTACACAGCTAATCTTGCGTTAACTTTCTCGAGTAGACTAGCGATGTCTACTCAAACGAAGGATAAGTCACCTGAGTTGGCCTTTTCAATGTGCATTTACAAATTTGGCTGCTCCTGTGGAGATAGCTATATCAGGCGTACTGTTAGGCAACTTAACCAACGAATGAGTGAACATCTACCATCGTTTTCCAACGGAATTCGTTCCCGTCTCCTACATACAGCTGAAGCCATAGGAATTCATACATGTAAACCCAATTTATGTGTACAGAAGAAATTCGTGACCCCCTGTCTCTTCCATGGCCGGATATAACTTAACAAATGACTTATTTTGTTATCATTGACCTTATATACACATCCAGTATTCGTTTGTAATTTTTGCCTCTTTCCGCTTGTATTCTTCACTATATAATTATTTACTCACTTCTTATTACGTAGTGGTTTTAATGTTTCGTGATGACTATTCTAATTCTATTTACCCACGTTTGACCTTCTATTTCCAATGTTTCACAATTGATAAGACTTTTGTTGTCGTATTTTATTATTCTTACTACTATCAGTACACCTGCTATCAACTTGTACTTTTACCTATTATTGAAAACAATTGTTCACTTACATGTGTTGTTCTAATTACTCAGTGTAGTATTAATTTCGGTATCCCAGTGTTATATTTTATTCAATATAACATTAATTTATTTGAGTGTGATGTTTGTTCAAGTTAAGATATTCTTGTATTAAATTACCATGAACTATGCTCAGCATCATATACAGCATGTGATTTGTTATAACTCACAATATTTGTCATATATGTGATTACATTCTGATTAATAATCAAAATGGGTATATAATTAATGTATGAACGAGTGTATTTTCGAATTGGGTCATTGTCGTGTTTTGCATTTGATAAATCTTCACTTGCATCAGTCTTGTTGTTCCTACTTAGTGTTATGGGAATTGAAGTAATTCTTTATTTCACAAGTATAAATAATAGACTATTTCAACATAACATATGATATTTGATAATTTTGATTATATTTCCTTCAAAAAGCTTGGACTAGATTACCAGGCGAAACGTTGGATTTACTCCAAAATTCATTCGTTAAGATTTTACAAATACATATTCTTCCTCGACTCGCAAGTACTGTGAAACTATTCGATCAAATTAAGACGAAAATTCTTATTTAATAACAACTAGTGACGTAGTTACAACAGAACTACTCTGAACATTTAGGTTCTTTCTATTAAATCGTTGTGAGAACGTTAAACATAGTCTTAGTTACTGATCTATCAATAAAACAGGAAAATAATCTAATGTTTAAGTTAGTTTTATATTGGCATTTATATCACTAATGAAAAGCTTGAATCATTCATAATGATTCTTTCACATTAAATTAATCATTTTAACAAATATCCTTGTAGTATCTAAGTAGTTCAATAGAAATATTTTTCTTAATATTTTGTAAATATGACATTCACAATTTTTATATGAAATAACTTCTGTTTATTTGTTTTTTTTTTTGCTTCGATAAAAAAAAATGATCAAAATTGATAGTTTACTACTGAAATTGATGGAAGTAATGGTAAATTAACATTATGGCAATTTTTATTGGAACTATTATTATCAAATAAATATGAACATATTATAAGATGGACAAATAAACGTGGTGAATTTATTTTAGTACAAGCTGAAATTGTTGCAAAATTATGGGGTATGCGTAAAGATAAAAATCATCGTATGAATTATGATAAATTAAGTCGTGCATTACGATATTATTATCAAAAAAATATTATACGTAAAGTACATGGACGTAAATTTGTTTATCAATTTATAGGATTAAAAAATTTAATTAAATTTTGTTGTACATCAATTAATTCAACACCAATAACAACATCAATTACAACATCAATAATAACACCAACAGTAGTGACTTCAGCATTACAACAAACATTGACACCATTAAACAATTTACCAATACATTCAAAAATTGATGATATTGATTTACCAGTAGCATCTTCATTATATCATAATGCTGGTAAATTAAATGAATTATATAATCATAATCAAAAACAACATCAAGATTGGTTTTATACACCTTCTCATAATATTAAATTTTATGAAAATCATAGTGATTGTAAACATACTACTACTAGTAATACTACTAATAATATTCTAAATACTATTACTAATGTGAATAACTGTACTTTAACATCTACACAAACTGACAAAGCTTCAAATTTGAACTGTTCAACTAATAACTCAATATATTCTCCGAATAATTTGGATATAGCAACAATTACAACATTTATCAATTCATATTTGAATAAGAACAACTACGAAACGAATACCATTACAAATAATAATAATAATGATCATGATAATAACAATAATAATAATGACAATAATATCTTGCTAAATCATGTTGGTGAATCAACATCAACCTTGTCTGATCCAAGTCAGATTAAAGCTTCACATGAGATTAACGACTTAAGTGATTTTATTTCTTCTTGGGTATCTATGATGTCACAAAGTAATTATCTCAATAACTTTCGATTAATGGAATGTTTTAAGCAATCAGGTAATTTATTGAACCTGTTTAATTGTCATAATATCGAACAATTCAATGTTGATCAAGAAAAACAAATATATTCAACTGATACATGTTGTCGAATAGAACAAAACAATTCAATGTTAAATAAGGAGAAAATTATTACCAATATTACCGATAATAATCAATTTATAAATAATCAAAATATTGATAATTGTCCAGTGAATTTACATGCTAATTATCATCCGGACTTGATGAATAATTATGATTCAGAATTATGGAAAGTTGAAGATTTTACACAGTATGAAAAAGATAATCCAATGAATTTTACTGCTACAAATTTAAGAACATCTGATAAATTACAATTTAAACAATATTGTAATCAAGACAACAGACCTCGATCACCGTATTGTGAATGTAGTTGTCATTCACAATTAACACATGAATCTAATTATCCTCTAATGCAAAGTATACAACACCAAATTAATTCATCTCATTTAACAGACAATAATAATATCATAGAAAAGTTAAGAGATTATTCAAATAAACAATCAATAACTGGAAATTCTGATGAATTACCAACCAAGTTACATAATAAACGTCATTCAATTAATATGAAACGTTTAGGTGAGCAACTGACACGTTTAAATCATTTAAACTCAACGGGAAATTATTCAAATAATAATTTAATGTTTATAAACAAATATTCTCCAATAAATAATAATAATAATTTAACAAAATCGAATCTTATAAAAGATGAACAAATTGCTAATCATAATGAAGATATTAATAGGAATGATTATTATTCTACTGGTGAATGTAAGATACCACTGACAAAAAATGTCATGTTATCTGGTTCGAAAATGGCGTCGAATTTAAATTCTTCAACAGTAAACACCACGTACAACAATAGTAGAGCTGATAACACGAGTATGTCATCCTTACCGACGTTATCTATGTCAGAGAATAAATGTGTATGGATGCCCGTACCTGTGACTATGCTGAATTCATGGTTTAATTTACTATCAAACATAAAAGGTCTTAATAACAATTCGATAAATCAATCGAATTTTATGACATTATCCTCCTTCTCCACTTCCTCCTCATCGACATCATCAATGTCGTCAGCATCTTTATCATCATCATCATCATCAGTGAATAACAATTAGACTGTTGTAAATTTTTAAAAGTTTAATAATCATTGCATGAAACACATACTATCATTTACATTTCACTTTAAATGATCATCAAATTTATACACATCCTCGTTGGATTGTACTAATTATTCTAAATACTTTTTGTTATCATAAATGATATGTGTAAACATTCCACATATGAAAAATAGTTATATAATCATACTTGTGTTATGTATGATCAATTGTATATTAATTTAATTACATTGAACAAATTCACTAACGAAAGTAAACTGACCTGAAAATCTTGAAAAGAAAAATAATCATAAGGCAAAACCTAACAACCGATGCATTTGTTTATTTCATTATCTTTTTTTTTCTAGTTTTAGTGAAAAAAAAAACAGTAAAACAATACTATTATTTCAGTTTATTTTGTTTAGCCTATAATTTTCTTGCTATTCTAAACGAATATACATTCTTATGAGTGATATTTAAAGTTTGTTTTTCTTATGCCATCCCAGATTCATGTTGATGTGATAATATACTTATATATTTGTGATATAGCCCAATTATCATCTAATGATATCATAGAGTTATTTTCTTTATTCTTTACCCTATATTATTGACTCCATGAATGATATGATTGAATGGGTGATCTACGGTTTAAAATATTTTCAATTAAATCAACAGGACGTTAATAAAATCAAACTATACTGTTTAGCCAAAGGTGAATGCGTAAAGCACTCTAAGTTCACGCCTTAGTTTTTTTCCTAATATTTATCACGAATCGACATTAGCCATAATATAAGGATCTTAAAGTGGATATTCTAAGCCCTAATCCTAGCATAATGAATCATTTATTGATCTCTACTATCTCCTGATTGGTAAAAACGAGCAAGGATTTGAGGGTTACTCTGGCTTTAATTAATGCCGATGAATAGATGAATGGAATGGCACAATCATTGAGTGATAACAGCTCACGAAACCAAATTAGTGGTGTAAGCCATTGTGGTGTTTGCATGAACTAATGATTCCTTTGTACTTGATGTCTGTCTGATTTTGGATTCCAAATACATTACGTTCGTTTGTACTCACCTAATTCTATTTGGCCTAAATTGAGTTATTTCGGGGATTCCTAGTTCGTATAATAATTCAAATAATTTTAATCACTACAGTCATCCCAAATTAACAAATACCAAAGACTATTAAATGAGAGAAAAGATTCTTCCTACCTAATGACATAACATGCCTTTATTACAGAATATTAACAGAAAAATAAGTTTCAATAGTTGAGATCATGAGTTAATTGAAGCTAGACCAGCATGGAAAACCTGGAAGCACTGGACGGCCGTTTCACGATCCCGCACTGCTGAAGAATCCCACAATAGGATGAAACAGCCGTCCAGTGTTTCCAGGTTTTCCATGCTGGTCTAGTTTCAATCGACTCATGATCTCAACTATTGAAATTTCTAAAATCTCCATAAAACCCCTTCTGGGAAAAATAAGTATAACTCGATACCATAAACGATTGGAGGATATCAATTTTGTACACTACTCACTCTCCAATAAATTAAGATTTGCCAAGTTTAACTCTCCCCATCATATCTTTAGAGTAAGGATCAGTTCATTGATTTCAACTGTTGCTTAGCAGTATTTTTGAAAATACAAGCATTTTACTGTTGCACAAGGAGTAAATTTGAGTATAATGGTAATATGTGACAGTTGATCTAAGTAACTGCCGAAGATTGGATAGTTCTGATATTGTCCTTGTTTTATTCGAATTATTTTCTAACAAATGTTAAAAGGATTTCGTGAAGGAAAATATGGAGAATAAAGGTTTTGAAGATTATTGATACGGAAACCAACTTCTTTGGTAGTTATTGTACAAATAAATTGATAGCACTATATTCTGAAAACTATCATTTTTGAACAGGTTGAAATTTATCGGTACATACGTATGTACTCAGCCTCAAGGCACAATTTAGTTGCATGACGGTTACCAATACTACTCATCAACTGATACGGTTAGGACCGTAGCTGCTACCTTGACGTGGTGGTCGGGCTTGCCTATCGTGATGACCCAACCGAGCTATATTGGCTGGAACACATGTTCCTGCAGGTTCTACCATGCCAGGCAGGTCGTTTGGAGAACGGTAAGACTAAAAGCAGCAACTCAAGGTCTGAGGGCAAAGTCGTACTGCTGACTGTACAGAGGTGTGACAGCAGTAAGGTGTTTCCCTCGGACAACCAGCATCTACAGCGATGCTGCCTTCTCACAAGGAAGGAAGGGGTTGGAAAAGGTCGACCCTAAAAATGTCACACCCCACCTTACCCCACGGATTTCCGTCTCCGGCGGTAAGGCCCTTTGAAGAACGGAGCTAACACATTAAAAACCTCCCACAAAAAGGCCGTGCGCGACCGGCCTCAAGCAGTTGTCCCTTGGGCTCTGCGGTCATGCACGCAGGTCGTTAAGACCAACGCTAACCCGATTTTCTTTTCAGGTTCCTCAAGAAATACCCTTCCACGGTGTGGGCAGCCGGGAAGTGACATCAGCCCTCATACCCAGTAGACAGTCGTTTGTGCGCTGTCCGACTAAATGGAACAGCAAGGACTCGGAAAGATAGGGACACTCGTCGTTGCCTCTTCGTCGTCTCTGCCTACTCTCCCACTGACTGCAGCTCAGATAATGTAAAAGACGAGTTTTACAGAAAGCTTCCCGACCTTCTCCAAAAGGTTAGGCGCTCTGAAGTAGCAATAGTGGCTGGCTACTTTGATGCTCAAGTAGGTAAACTAAGCGAAAGGGAAAGATACCTGGGTGGGTCGGCGACCGTTTGTTGCAGCTATGCTCAGATAACCGCCTATTTCTTGCATAAGGAAAAACATCTTTTAACATGGCGACCCCCTAATTCGTCCCAACGCTGGACCCAAATAGATCACATCGCTATCAGCCACCGATGGAGGGGCTCGATAGAAGACTGTCGCTCATTTTGGAGCACATGCTTAGACTCAGATCATGCTCTAGTGCGAGCGCGTATTTGTCTACGTCTTACTGGACGTAGGAAAGATGGTGCAAAGAAACCCCTTAGGGTCCTACTTAATGATAGTCAAGCTAAGAGTATATTTCAGGAACAACTAGAAAAACAGTTAGGCAGCTATGTAACTGATGCCCACCCCGAGGTAGCGTGGAATAACATCCAAAAAGCTGTAGAAACAGAAGTGATGTCTGCAAGTACGGTAAATCATAAGGTTAGGGAGAAACACTGGATCTCAGCAGCATCTACCGCACTGATAGATGCCCGAAAACTCATTCCATCTGGCTCTGAACATAACGAAGAGCAGAGTCAGCTTAAGCTGACTAGAAGCCTACGCAATGATCGTGAACAGTGGTGGGTAGCGAAAGCAAGAGAGATAGAAAAGACAGCGGCAATAGGTAACAGCAGACAACTGTTCAGACTTGTTAAGGAAACCGGGATTAGGAACCCAGCTGTTAGCGAAACTATCTCCGAAAAAGATGGACATATTATTCATTCTTAATCCAGGAGATTGGATCGATGGGCAGAACACTTTAGGGATCAGTTCAACTGACCTTCAGCCACACTTCGGTTTCCCACGATCTCCAATCTACCTGAATGGCAAAATAATGTGAATCCTCCGACTCTTTACGAAGTTGAAAAAGCTATAGGAAATCTGAAGCGTGGGAGAGCAGCAGGCCCTGACAGGTTTACCCCTGATATTTTTAAGGATGGCGGTCCAGTATTAGCAGCGAGATTGACTGAGGTCTTAGGTAGAATCTGGGAACTGGACGTAATCCCATCTGACTGGTCTCAATCACTGATCGTACCAGTTTATAAGAAAGGACAAAAGTCTTCTTGTGACAATCACAGAGGAATTAGTTTGACTAATATAGTGTCTAAAATATTAGCTTCAATAATACTTCGACGTCTAACCAAAGCTCGTGAAATGCAGACTAGAGAAAACCAGGCTGGTTTTCGACCTGGACGTGGTTGTATAGACCAAATATTCACACTACGTCAGGTTCTAGAACATAGACACACATTCAGACGCCCCACAATGATAGTATTTCTCGACCTTAAGGCGGCATTTGACTCTGTTGATCGTGAGGTTCTATGGCAGTGTTTGTCACTGAAAGGAGTACCAAAGAAGTACATCAACCTTATAAAGGCTCTCTACTCGAACACAACTGGTCGAGTGAGAGCTTATGGAGAACTGTCATCAGAACTGATTACCTCAAGTGGTGTTCGTCAGGGCTGTCCACTCTCTCCATTCTTGTTTAACTTTGTTGTTGACGTGCTTTTAGAAATAACATTTTCCTCATCTAAATTTCCAGAAGTTGAACTTTTACCGGGAGATTCACTTGTTGACTTAGAATATGCCGATGACATAGTTCTATTTGGTGAAGACGCTGACAAAATGCAGAGTCTGCTGACCACTCTAAGCAACAATGCAGGCATGTTCGGCATGCGATTCTCTCCCTCGAAATGCAAAATGTTGCTTCAGGATTGGGTTGCATCGGCACCAGAACTAGTGATACGGAGTGAAGTAGTTGAGCGTGTCGACCGCTTCACATATCTTGGAAGTCTCATCAGCCCTTATGTTCTGGTCTGTGACGAAATCTCAGCACGGATACAGAAGGCTCGACTAGCTTTTACCAACTTGCGTCATTTGTGGCGTAGGCGAGATATCCGTCTAGTAACCAAAGGACGTGTTTACTGCGCAGCAGTTCGTTCCGTCCTACTTTATAGTAGTGAAACATGGCCAGTAAGAGTAGAGGATATTCGTAGGTTACTAGTATTTGATCATAGGTGTCTTCGAAACATTGCTCGTATATCCTGGGACCACCGAGTAAGTAACTCAGTTGTTAGGAAACGGCTACTAGGTAAGGATGGCAAATCAATTGACGAAGTAGTGAAACTTAATCAGTTGAGATGGCTGGGACAGGTGTTGCGCATGCCAGACCACCGACTGCCCCGACGTGCGATGTTTTATGGTGTAGGAATAGGTTGGAAGAAAGCTAGGGGCGGCCAGACCAAAACATGGCACAAATCCATGAAGTCACTGACAAGTGGACTGAGCCATGTTGGTAGATGTAGACTACCTGGTTGGGGACCGCGAGATTATAGCAACCGATGGTTAGAGACGTTGAATGACATGGCTGAAAATAGTTTGCAATGGCGCAGGTGCATCCACTCTCTGTGTTCTCCCAAACTCTAATCTTCTGAATTCTCCATATCCTTTATTTTCTTTCCAAATATATTCCACTGGACTATACTCCTTAAATAACATCATCAAACCTTAACGTTTCCTGTCACTACTTATACTCTCACTACTCTGCCACTACGGGATTTGAGACGATAACTGAATCTCTGTGCTAATGTGGTATGGCAACTCGAACTGATGTACGTACGTACGAAGTTCCACGTTGTTTCTGACTGACAGTTAGGACGTTACATAAACCTAATCACCTCTCACATGGGTAGGCGATGTTTTCTGGTGTAGGATTGAGTTGATAGAAAGTTAGGGAGGACCAAACCAAGACATGGGACCAACCCACAAGGTCACTTAGTGTTCCTCTGAGTCATATTGGCAGATGTATATTACATGCTTGCGATCCACACGACAACCAAGATTAGTGGTTAGAGAATTTGGGTGACACGGTTCATAGTGGAAATACATTAATTTCTTACCTTTCCCTAGATTTTGAAATCCATTATGGCCACGCGTATACAGCCCCTGCCAGGGAAGTCCTACTCACTGCCTTCTCGTGGCATTACTGTTGTTTACAAAAATGAGAGGACGAAAAGCGAATGTCCGGCGCTATAACCGGATCCCAAATCAATGGTGCACATGGGCTAGCTCCAGTATCCTGAAGGAACAAATGGTGTATGAACCAATCGTTGGTCACCGACTACCATGGGACTGCATCTCCTCACGATGCTCCACTGCCTTGTGGATCAGATCTTCAGGTCGAAGGCTCGGGGTGTGGCCCCCTAAGAAAACCACCTGCTTCGGTTTGGGCACCCGGGTAGTATCACAGCACTCACACATATCAAATGAGATCTGTGTGGCGCATATGTATTTGGTGCCTTTTTGTACCGATATTTATGTGTTAAAATAAATAAATAAATACATATATACTGTTGCGCTTTTTTCTTTTGTAATCTAATTGATCGCTTCTTATCATTATCACCATTACCACTATTATTTTGACTCATTTTCTACTTATCTGGTTAAGTATATCTTGTGTTGATTTGGTATGAGAACTTGGGTTAACCTTCTTATGTCCCGAACATCATGTTAATTATGACTATCTATTATACTGATTTGGTTACTTCTACTACTACTTTTATTTAATGGGATTGACTAATCAATTACAGATTTGCATTTTCCGTTTTGAAACCGGTGATGCTACCTGACACTCCAGAGCGGGGTAGAGTTCGAAACTGGTTCGTGATTCGCGTATTATATATGCTTGACCACCACCTACTTTTACAGATGCAGTTGTAGTAGTTTGGAAAAGAGCTGGTGAGACCTAAACCGAAACATGAAATCAGTTCGTGAATTCACTGATTGCTAGTCTGAGTCCTATTGGAAAGTCCAGACTACCTGGTTAGGGTTTTTAACGTTATCACCACTAATACAATCACTCCGACTCTTGTTACTTTCACTTCGTTGTGATGATGTGGTATGAAAACTTGGGATAACGCACATTTGTCAGGTTCAATGCTGACAATGACTGGTTTGCAGTATTGTTCTTCATAATAATCAGCGCTCAATGTAAGCTGTGTACTTGCTTAATAATTTATATTCACGCAACACCGCTTATTCAAGGTATTAACTTTATTACACAATACGACACTGAAAATAGTATATAATATACAAAGAGTTAAACATAATCAGTAAAAAAAAAGAAGCCCTATAAAAACATTCATGGAGGATTCATGTAAAAACAAAATATTATAACGAATTTCAAACTATCTAAAATCTTCAATCTCTCATGGTATCTCGAAACAGTGAATTGAACCATGGAAGCCGAATAAACAACTTTAAATATAAAATACGCAAGTTTTAACAAAGTCGGGAAATGGGTGGCAGTGGAATTCAGGATTTGAGAATCGTTAGCTGGATGTATCCACATCCTAGCGTTGATGCTTACGCCGAGACTCAAGCCCAGTACTGTTAGACCTAGACATCAATTGCGTTCGTTATCTACCATGTATAGATAGATGTACTTGTGCAACGGGTATAAATCCTATTACTTTTTACGTGTTTTTTTTCCTAATCGTTTTTGGGGCTACATACAGAGCACAGTATGCTTCTAAGAACATTGTGTCACAGATTGATAAATATAAACGAGCCTATCGTATTCGTAAAAAGACTTCATAAGGTAATCAAGTTACTTCAGTTTTTGTGTAGGTTTGGGTACTAGCTTATGAGCTGCATTTATGTTAGGTCTAATAACGCAGCTGCTTAAACCTTGCCAGGTGGAGGTACAAAGCGTGTGACACGAAAGTTGTCACTAGTTCTGATTTGTTTAGTGCCATTTTTGTTAATATAAAATTGTAAACAGGTAAAAAGAGGAAAATGTGGACTGATTATATATCTAAAAAAATGAAGTGATATACATCACAGTACTTTCTAAAATTTATTATGTTATCTACTAATTCAACGGTACACCAGTGGCTTTAGATAACTCGTCCAAAGATTTTTGTGCCTGTAAAGCAGATAATTCATTGTACTCTTTCAATCTTTTTTCTATAACTGCACGGTCACGTTCGGATATCTTCTTTTCCCTTTTCGTAAGATATTTTAGGCGTAGAGCTCCATAAACAATCCCAGCAGCTAACAATCCCCAACGCGCTGTTCGTATGAGTGGTGATACTTCACGTGGAGCGGGGAGTTTAGTTACATACACTGAGTCTTCCATCTAAAAAAATGGACTAAGAATTTAGTATTCAGTTCAACGAGGAAGCAAAAAAAGAACAAGTAAACGAAACTTTGGAACGAAATTTGGTGTAAATACAAACTCATACCTTTTATTCCATATATAAAACAATATGAAAATCACATAACAGCAAAGTCTGTTGAAAACGTTTAACCCAACTCGATGATAAGTGAATATGATACTGGTTAGCTTCCATCAAGTCACATCTGGCTTCTTAGAAACACACTTCCAGAAGCCCTGTAGCGAACTGTAATTTCTATTGACAATAAGCCATTTCACTTGCTCGAACTATATAAAATATTAAACGCTTTATGTTTGATAACAGACCCAAAAAGTGAAATTTAGGCAGATTATATAACTTGCCTTACAACTTTACCCATCGACAATTAGTCTTTTAGTGTTGTGTAGGACTACTGATGCAATCGACATCCTAAGAAAGCTTACAGCATGTTAATGTAGACTCGTGTTGAATTCTAAAGCGAATCTCACAAACAATTTAATGAATACTTTTAGAGTCCACAAACCGAGTTACGTGCTTGAGTAAAAAAACACTGAAGCACATAAATACTGGTACAATAGGGTACCAAGAAAAACGCACCACACAAATGAAGCAATAAAGGAGACGAATCGCAGACAATAAACAAACGAACAAGAGTATAACGATGAGCATTGCTAGTTGGTCGAGCCAGATATATTGCAGTTTCTATTTAAGGGTTTCTGAATATTTTGTCTAGTTACATATATTTCTGACAGTAAAATAAGAATATTATATATAAGGCATGATATTTATTTATTTGCATACGGACATAAAAGATAGTCATTAAAATATATCTGTTTGTGTAGTGATCGAGTCAAAGTGTGAGACAACACTCCACATAAATGACGTACAAAATGATCCTTAAAAATCAATTATGGCGTTACTCGTTATATTTATCACTGGAATAATCTTAGACAGTCCAGTTTATTTGATCGATGACTTCGTAATAGACTCTTTGTCTTCCTTTAAACTAAGTTATTATTATTATTTTAACACATAGATATCGGTACAAGGAGGCACCAAATACATATGCGCCACACAAATCTCATTTGATATGTGTGAGTGCTGTGATACTACCCGGGTGCCCAAACCGAAGCAGGTGGTTTTCTTAGGGGGCCACACCCCGAGCCTTCGACCTGAAGATCTGATCCACAAGGCAGTGGAGCATCGTGAGGAGATGCAGTCCCATGGTAGTCGGTGACCAACGATTGGTTCATACACCATTTGTTCCTTCAGGATACTGGAGCTAGCCCATGTGCACCATTGATTTGGGGTCCGGTTAAAGCGCCGGACATTTGCTTTTCGTCTTCTCATTTTCGTAAACAACAGTAATGCCACGAGAAGGCAGTGAGTAGGACTTCCCTGGCAGGGGCTGTATACGCGTGGCCATGTGAGAGCATTTCGAGAGGAGGAGCGGACTCCCCCCACTCTCGGCCATACCAGGGCATTTGGGGGCCCTTTAAACTAAGAGATTAAAATTGTTTCATATCTTTCTTTCTACGAACTAATTCTTTATTCCTGTACTATGCCGTTATATGCAATCTTTTCTTCTATATATTACCACCAATTAACCCGGTATTCATCTTGTTGTGCTAACGCGGTATGGCAACTTGGACCGATGCATATGCACCCAAATGCCCTGCTACGGCCGAGAGTGGGGAGAGTCCGCCCTCCCCCTCTAAATGCTCTCACATGGCCACGCGTATACAGCCCCTGCCAGGGAAGTCCTACTCACTGCCTTCTCGTGGCATTACTGTTGTTTACAAAAATGAGAGGACGAAAAGCGAATGTCCGGCGCTATAACCGGATCCCAAATCAATGGTGCACATGGGCTAGCTCCAGTATCCTGAAGGAACAAATGGTGTATGAACCAATCGTTGGTCACCGACTACCATGGGACTGCATCTCCTCACGATGCTCCACTGCCTTGTGGATCAGATCTTCAGGTCGAAGGCTCGGGGTGTGGCCCCCTAAGAAAACCACCTGCTTCGGTTTGGGCACCCTGGCAGTATCACAGCCTTCACACAAATTAAATGAGATTTGTGTGGCGCATATGTATTTGGTGCCTCCTTGTACCGATATCTATGTGTTAAATAAATAACCGATGCCTATATGTGCCTGGTCCTACGTTGCAGCTGACTGACTCGTAATAGAATACAAGGAACGTCGAAAACTACTAATGGCTTATCGTGATGCATTCCATGTAAAGTGAGAACTGACCAAAATATTAAGATTATTACTCAATCAGCCGGGAGACTAATCAATCAGCAAACATACCAAAAACACTGTTGGTCAGTAGTATTTCTATGCTTTTCTACAGAGAAAAAATGCACATTATTGACATCAGAACTCATCATACATGATGAATTATTTGGGAGGAAAACTACTAAGTTTCTTACGACTTTGGGATAAATCTCAAATATATGGACATTGGGCGTTTTTAGCGTTAACCATAGGTTTGGCCTGTTTCACCTTATTTACAAATTGCAACCCACGTATACAACTGTCTAGCTAAGAATGTGTGAGAAAAGTCTTGTTTGTTATAAAAAATAGACTTCCTAAGTAACAACATGACCTATAACTTGAGTTCCTGTGTTTAATTTGGAAACATATGACCATCCCATTGGTATTTTAATGATCGTTTTAATCGGCTACTCGATAAGAACATTAAAGCTTGATGTGTTATTAATTATATTGATTTGCTAACTTGATTCCAAATGTTGCACAACATTTACATAATTACTGAATATTCACTGTAGATAAGTTAGAGAGACTTTGAGAGATGTGAAAATTGACTTTAGTCTACTTCCTACAAACTGACTTACAGTTTAGTAGAAGTAGAGACAAAGCCGACTTCCTAATTACAGAGAGCGCTAACCTTGGCGCGTTAAGGTTTTGAACTAAGCAGCACATAAAATAGTTCACAAAATCTAAGCAGGTACATTTGGTCTCTGAATCAGAAGTGGTGAGACGCTTGACATTTAAGATAATGTTGAATCGTTTTGTACATTATGATTAAAGGAAACGAAATATCACTCAAAATGGCAGTATTCATGGAGCAGTTGGGCAGTTATTTTGGGTGTAGCGGTAAATAAATCTCCGAAATTAATAGCTCTGTAAGTCTTCGACGTTTAATGTTAGCCACATTTGTTTCAACTCCGCCTGGAACCCCTCTGAGACTACTTCTGGTCCCAAACCCGGATAAAGGAGGAGGGTTAAGCATGGGGTTAGCGACCCCATTCCTGTAGAAAACGAATTTGTTTTAAAACACTAACCGGAAAAAAATAATTCAAACCATTGATACCCTACTCTGGTAGTTAGAAGGTCTTCATTTAGAAGAGTTATGACGCCTCATGGTGAAAGCCGAGTTCCTTCGGAAGTCATGACGATGATGCCCCTTCTGACAACCAGAGCAACTATTAATTAAGGTACATGGAATGTTCATACAAATGGTTCAAATGGTTGTGGACGGAATAGAAGAAGCTTTCGCTTAACAGGCTTCTGTGTCTAGTAGCAGGGGATCACCAATACCTCCAGGCATGAACCTAGGTATATGAACGATAAAAGAAAAAAAAAGAAATTGGTAAATCATAGTAAGATGCTATCCTCAGTCCTTAAGAATAGATCAAGTCGCCTCTTAAAGGACTCCTGGGAAGGCGCTTGGACTAGCTCAGCTGGCAGCAAATTCCAGCATTTGACAAGTCTTAAGGAGTAGAAATTGTGTCTGCAGTCCGTTCTACTATGTTGTATCTCTAATTTCTGGGTGTTACCCTTTAGGTTAGTGTTGGGACTAAGCTTAAGTAGGCGTTTAAGAGGATGTCCAGAAGTGTTAAGGATACTGTAAGCCATTAGGTCACCTCTAAGACGCCTGTACTCTAATGGGTAAAGGTCGAGTGATTGGAGGCGCTCATCGTAAGGTTTAAATTTGATTCCCAGAACTGATTTCGTGGCTCGCCGTTGGATACGCTCCAGAGTGTACTTATCCCTTTGGAGTGTAGGAGGGAATACTATGTTTTCGTACTCTAAATGGGGACGAGTGAAACTATTGAAGATTATGTGGAAAGTTCTCCCGTCAAACTGACCAAAAATGCGCTTCAATGTTACCAGTGCAAGGTTTGCTCGAAAGGCATTTCTGTCACAGTTGGTGTAAGACTTTAAGTCATAGGGCACCAGAACTCCTAAATCTTTTTCGACACGGGATACTACTAGAGAGGAATTTCCTAAGTTGTAACTGTGATCTGCGACGTGTCGCAGATGGACTACTTTATACTTTGAAGTGTTAAATGTAAGTCCGTTGTCGTCTGCCCAACTTTGAAGTCGAGTCAGACTCTCATGAAGTGCCTGTATGTTCTCTTGGTTGCGTATCTCTCTCTAAAGTTTCACGTCATCGGCAAAGAGCAATAAATCTGACGTTATCTGTTGAGGAAGATCATTTATATAAATCAGGAAGAGGAGAGGTCCTAGTACTGAGCCCTGAGGGACCTCTCTAGGACATTCCATAGCGTGTGAGAAATTGAAGTTGACCCTGACCTTAAAATGTCGACTTGTCAGATTTAAACTGAGCCAGTCAATTAAAGGAGGTTTGATACCCAATTGTTTGAGCTTGTTGATAAGAGTAACTCTTCCTGAAACCATGCTGCTGGGGTGAGAAGAAATTTAAGGACAGCAGATAGTCGTGTATACCATCGTATACCAGGGACTCCATGATCTTTGAAGGTATAGAGAGAAGAGCCACCGGTCGGTAACTTGAAGGTTCGCTGCGTCGACCTCCTTTAAAAATTGGTGTGATATGAGCCAGCTTCCAATTACTCGGTAGCTTGCCTCGACTTAGTGAGTGTGAGAACATCGCGCTAAGCAGTGTTGCCAGGATTGAAGCTGCTTCCCTCAGTATAGCAGAGTGGACCATATCTGGACCAGGAGAAATGTATGTTCTTAGGTGTTGTAGTTTACGGAACGTCAAGTCAGCGCTCAGTTTCACTACGGAAAGTCCTTTGCAGTTGCACATGAAGCCGTCATCCGTATAGTTGATGTGGGACGGTTGAAATGTCCGGGAGTATTGCTCAGCCAGAAGGTTAGCGGCGTCACCGTCATTATCGGTCGGACCGTTAGGACCTAGCAGTTGAGAAACTCCAGTTTTGACTTGACGAAGAGAGGCTACGTAACGGAATAAGCTTTTCGGATTGGAAATAAATTTATCCATAAGCTTTAACTGATACTGGAGCCTGTCTTCTTTTATAGCCTTCGTACATATGTTCCTTATATGTTTGTATTGCCTGTACTCGCCATTGTTGTCAGTTCGTTTGTATATTGTCCAACAGTGCCTTTTACGGCTTAGCAAACGAAGAGTACGGTTCTTGATGGTTGTAGGTTGCATGTGGCTTTTGGGGACCGTTTGAGGAACTGACTGCTTAGTAGCACATGAGAGCGTGTGCAGTAAGGAGTCCCAATGAGCATCCACATCAAGTTGAGGGTGAACATCCCAATCCACCTGTTGTAGATAGTCCTGTAGAGCTGACGCATTCAACCGTTTGAAATTCCAGCGTCTGTTGTTGTTGGGATATCTTAGCTCAGGTTGAAGAACCCAGCTTCAATGGAGTTTTCACTTCCAATATACGTATGTTCCGCGTAGTTGACTCTAGGGGGATTGAAGTCCCCTAGAATCAGGATATGAGTGAAGCCGAGACGCGTAGAGCGAGATAGTCCTTCCAGAATGCGACTGTCATACTCGATGTCGGCAGTGGGCTTCCTATATATGACTCCGACTAGGCACCTAGAAGTAGTAGACAATCTCATAGAGCACCGTGTGGATTCCTCAAGATTGTCAAGCACATGGTTGTGAACTTGGTGTACCTCCAAGCCAGATCGTATGCATACGGCTACTCCACCCCCAATTCCTGTTTTTCTGTCGTTGCGAAACAAAGACATCCCAGGTATTGCTAGCTCCTGGTCCGAAAACTGAGGAGATATCCAAGTTTCAGATACTCCTATCAGATGAACCTTATTAACAATGCTAAGTTCACGTAGCTCATCCATTTTGTTTAGTAGACTCGCGGCGTTCGTGTATAAGCTGTTAATGTTTTCAATTTGAAACGCGTAAGCTTCTTCCTCTTTATTTGTATGAGCCTTACATGAGTGGACAGGTAGCCTACCTATATAAGGTTTGTCGAATGTGAAGGCCCTGTCCTTTACACGTTTTTTATCTTCAAGACAGTCAAGAAGTGGAATGGTCAGCCCCAGCCTGCCTTTGTGCTTGATCCTGGCGTCAAATGGCCTGTCCGGGTGCATGTGGATCCCAGTTGGCAACCGACGTCTGTTGACACGAAATGCTTCCAGAGCTGCAGCCGCCATAGGGGAGGATGGGAAAGTTATCCTCATTAGTCGGGGTCTGGAATCACCGTCCTTCTTGGCCAGTCTCGTCACATGTTGAGTCAGTATGTTTTTGAGTCTCAAGGACTGGTTGATGAATTTCCATCCACGAATGTCAGAGTTTGCTTGAGTAGGGTCCGTGTTTTCCGGCACACCTTGCACTATTGTATTTCTGCCGCAAAAATACTCCTCTTGAGATTCTTTCGGGATTTTCCAGATGAGATCGCGCTCAGAATACGGTATGTCGGGCAGTATTCTGACGTCCCCATCGGAATTCAGTAAATGACTAGCTACCAGGACATCCTCTACTTCGGTAGCGTTCTTGAGTGTTACACGAAGTAGTCTCGGGTGATTTTGATGCTTAGACTCCTTTCCCCGAGTGAGCCGTGTGACCGTCAAAGGCTCTATTCTAGGAAGTTCAAGCATTTTGTTCAATTCACCCCAGAGCATCCTGTCGTTTTTGTCCTTCGAACTGAGAGGAAGGTCAGGATTGTCTATGAGGTTCATGATTATGAGAGAGTCGTCAAGGATCGTTATTGTTTTCCCAGGTTTTCCGGTGCGTTTAGGTTCAGTACGTTGTTGTTTGGAGGTCGAAGCATGTTTCTGAATCCTAGGCTTTTTGATAACCGGGTGGACGTTTTGGGGTAGACTGAGCGATCAAAGCACCAGTTGATTTCCGTACAACACTTGGGATGTCAACCTTAGACGGTGACGCTTGGTCCTTATTAGCTCTGTTGGCGTGAGTGCAGTCACCTGCAAAGTTTTTAGGAACCACTGTTGCGTTTAAGGACCCTGAACTGGGAGATCCAAGTTTAGTGAGGGAGTCAATTACCGTCGACGTAATGATGGTGCTGAGTTTCAACATGTCATCATTAGTACGAATGCGTGTTCCATCGATGGTTGACTTATCAACATTCCTATTCTTATTTTCGTTGCGCGCCCTTGTTTGTCTACCTACTTTATGGCTATCTGTTTCCAAGTTTACTGACAATTTGTTCCGCAGACCTGTCAGTAGAACAATGATGTTGCTCAGCAGTACTACAGCGTCCGTGTTGCACGTAACACATACCCAATTACGGTCCGATTTGCTGAGTCTCTTGTAAGCAGTTGCCGTAAGATCTGTGCACGTTTCGTGGAACCAATCTTTGCAGTTGTCACACTACATGCCAGATGTAACAGCGAAACGGCACCCAGGTCGTTTGCATGAATTTTTCATGGCTGTGTTGGCATAAACTGTGTTAGAGGTAGTATCAAAAGCTTAAGACCGTTAAAAATACACTAAAAAGCACACTAAAAACGGGAAAAATGTATAAAAACGGATGAGATAAAACGAACTAGCCTTTACGTGAAAAGCTGAAAAAAAACCGAGTAGTAATCTGAGGCAAAACCACAGTTAACTATTAAATTGGGCGAAACTCAAAAAAAGTAATCTACCGAACTTATAGCTTAGAATAGATTGTTTAGATCAGAAATGGTACTTTTGTTGCGTAAGAACACAGCAAAAGTTTGAGAAATGCGAATCACGTTAGGACTAAACTTCCCGTTCAATGAACT